AATCTAGCGAAGACTTTGAGAGACAACAATTCTGGCATCCCTTTCTACTTGCCACTTGCTACCGCTCTGTTCGTGTTCCCAGCGCTTCTGCCGACTCAATATGAGCATACATGGACTATAAACCAAGGACATACTATAAATACGTACTTTATCGTAGGTATCAGCCCAGACTTTGTATGCTTCTTTCAGTCTCTCTTCTGAGGTGTTCGACCAGGTGATATCAAGTATTTCTTTCGGTAAACATGCAGGATCGCTTTTGTTATTTTCCATGATTGTTTACCATTTATCCCCGAAAAATCCGGGGATTTCGGTCGGTGTGTAAAGCGAAGACTACTTTGGCTTTCCCATCCGGAATACATCGGAAATAGATGGAACGTCTCTTCAAATCTACGCCAGACGGGAGTGGTTTGCGTTACGCTACAAACAGCGTGACGTTACCTGGGTCAAGGAACCAATGAGCGGACGCCAAAGCGATCGAGCCCTTACTGATTGAAAACAGTGGAGAAAGGAAGAAAAGACATGGGTAAAAAGGAAAGGGGTGGGAAAGACAGAATGTTGCAAGTGACTGAAGGAGACAGTGAGCGAACCGAGCGTGTTTCCCGAACGCGGGAATTATTGCACTAAGCGAGATGCTTTATGAGACCCAGCGAACGAAAGGACTTGGACGTGGAGCGGACGCGGCTCCCCTAAACATCACTTCCGCCAACGAACTTGACACCAAAAAATATGTACTCCCCACCCCACGGCCGCCTGTCCCGGGAGGGGGCGAGAGGGGGAGGAGGGAGGGGGGGTTGGGGGGCTGGGGGACTGGAAGGAGAGGTATGATTTGATTGGGAAGGTAACAACTGAATCGACTTTGCCTTCCACAAAATGCAGTTAGAAGCAGTTAAGGCCTGACTCGCGTTTTTGCAAAGAACACAAGAGCAAGGTTTTGTGCCTCGCGATAATTCCTGTCGCTTCCTCTAGCACGTTTAGCTGGACCTTTCCAGCACACTCCGACTGGAGCTCGCTCAGCTCATCCTAACACTCTCGAGGATTAAACAGTATGATCAGCATTCAAAATGTTTGGTCAAGAAGAAAACGGTTCCGGGCACAAGTTCATCTGATAACCAACGCTGATGACATTTAACACAGATTGTCATTCGACTACATTTAATATCATCCAGGGCTTAAATACTACAGCGATTCTTGAATTATTCGTTGTCTATGCTATACTTTATTCTATTCTCTACTCTGTTACTAAGTATCTTGGCCACGACCGAGGGGTCCCCCTTAATACAAGCTATGCATTTTATTTGTACATCATAATTGTTTATCTCATTTTCTCTTACATACAAGTGCATTCTCTGTACATATAATACACGTGCAACCAGTTCCACTTGTTTGGCGTGACTCGGAAGCAGACAATTGCGTGAAGGAAGGATTTGTTTCTACGCGAAATATGAGCAGCGTTGACCCCGTTGAAAAACAAAATTCAACTCATAAGGTTGGTCAATTTTGTTGCAGTACGTTCAGAGTTTTGCTTTAATCGTTGCGAAATATCTTTTGCAATTAATCTTTAAGTCGATATTCGCGTCAGTCTTATAATATATACGTCTGGTATAATTATCACCCGCATGTAACGAGCCTTCTCAAAAAAAAAAAAACCCAAAGATCTGCTAGACAAACTCAGAGGGCGGTCAATAAAAAATATGGAACACAATAATTCCTAAATTAAAACATCTGATTAAAATACCTCTACCACATTTTCCTTGATGACCAAATAAAAATTCAATTCATACTTTTGAAGCTTACTTAAACTCTTTTCCACCAGAAGCCAAGTAAGGCTTGATTATACCAGGTGAAAGTAACACGTGTATTGCACCACGGCTTATGATCTACTTATCATTTTTAGAGGGCGGTAAACAAGGAACCGCGAAATTTTCAGAAACCAGTTAAAAAACAACCAACGTATTGGGCTCTAAAAAGGGAAGAAAAACTCAGCTACAAATCTAATTGTCTACACTCCTACTCTTTGTGGCATCTAGCGACAACGTGCATTTTTCTTCATATTCTAAAGCAACGTTCCCGTGACCGCAAGATCACTTCAACAAGTATCACGTGGCACTCTTGTCAAATCGTCACGTGGTACAGAGAAACGTACTACGTGATGAACTTGAAACAAACTTGTGGCCTCACGGGAAGTTGAGCAAAACAATCCTGATTGTCGTAGTTTACTAAAAAAAAGTAGCAACACACAACAAATAGTGGAAAGCTAATTTTTTTCACCCCAATATTTTGTACCCTCCCGCGCCCTCCTTCGAATCTGCGAAGAGGGCAATTGGCTTAAGCCTCTAATACGACAACCATAGGCAATTGCCACAACAAGATTTAGAGAAAATCTATTTAAAATTTACCTGAAAGTATCGAAGAATTCATACCTGATTTTTCGTGTGAAACTCGAATTACTACTATCACTTCTTTTTCAGAGTCAAGTTCCTATTTTCTTTTGAACCCTGATAGCGGGAAATTTACTGTTTTTTTTCGCGCGGGAAACTTGATCAAGTTAATGACTGAATTTAATTCTGGTAGCCTGACCTCTGGTGAGTTTTAAGCAGACTCTAGCAGGTAGTTATGGATGGACGAGAGACAACCTGATCTCTTCACCATCCACAAGAAGTTTCCTCACGAAAAAAAAAAAAAAAAAACGAAAGGGAAAATAAACTTTAATGTCATTTTTGTGTCAGAACTGCTCAAGTTTATATCACGCCTTGAGTTCGCCAAACCTCTTTTAACGACATATATATTTTTTCATTTCTACAACGGAGCTGAGGCTTCGTAATTTACATTTAAACATACACAGTATATTATACAGTGGTGCGCGCCTACGCAGTACTTTCCTTGCGTGAATCAGCAGCGCTTCCTGACTCGGAGCCATTTTCTTCCTCTTCAATAATTTCGTCCTTCAGTGAAGTCTCTATCATCATCAACTCCTCGTCAGAGCCCTCCACATCTTGATTTTGGTTTTCTTCGAGATCCACCTTGGTCGTTTTTCGTTTATCTCTCTCCTCTTGTTTTATCACCTCCAACCACATTTTGTAATTATTTTCAATGTTTTTGGTCAGGTCGCTCGTAATCTTTCGTCGCTTTCGGCGACGTGACTTTTTCGGTTTTCTTCGTTCGTCTTCGGGATTTCTCGCTCCTTCTTCGCCGGAGTCTTCGTCGTCGCTCTCCAGGTCCGAGCTACTTGCCTCGACGTCGACCCATTCCCCTGGAAGGAGTCCGGCATTGGCGTAAGCATTGTACAAAGGGGCCACTAGGTGATTGATGAATGACTCCTGCAACTGGGCTACGTGTGGCTGATCACGGTCCATATAAGGAGAGATTGGCATACCACGTGTTAGCTCGTCATCTCCCTGTCGACAAACGAGAGAAATGTACGACAGAATCAGCAAGGCAGCAACCTTAATCACGTCACATGCACAGAATGTCATAAAAAGGCATATTTAAATTAACAGGAACGTCTTCTCTTTACTTTTTTCTCACCTTTTTATTACATATTTGGCGTTTTTTTTAACATAATTATACTACAAGCTCTTATACTCTTCGGTGGAGAAGTATTGCAACAGATAAGTTTCTCGCCCCAAAACACAGCAACACGACACCAGCCAGAAACGCGAACCCGCATTTCTCTCTCTTTTCCTTTCTCGCTTTTTTTTTTTTTTTTTCCTGTTGCTCTTTTGGTTTGTATAAACATAGTTAGTAGAGGGGAATATTCCTCTATAATATAATATTATTCTATAATATAAATATTCCTCCTTTCCCGTTTTCTTGTTTGAAGCGCTGCATACCTGTTCATAGAACTCTTCAACAATACGCTCGGTCCAGCGAGTGTGTAAGTCTCTTCGTTTACTCGGTCCTGAAATGTCCGCCATCTTGATGCAAATCTGCAGTGTCAAGAGGCGATCAGCTTCTTGTGACCAATCGATTCCGCCACCGTCAGAAATCTGTCAGTCAACAAAAAAATCGCGCCATGATACAACAATTCTACTCGTTTCAGGAATGGAGCATTATATTTTTGACGGTGGCAGGGAGGTTAGGTAATTTCCACAAGACAACGTTGGGATGCTAGTCCATCGCAAGGTCACCCCCAAAGCATAAAATTTACTATACCCATTTATACACCTTGGTGGAGAGAGGCACCGTGAGAGTCAAATGTCTTGCCCAAGAACACAACACAATGACCTTGGCCAGGGCTCGAACCTGGACTGTTCGCTAACCATTAGGCCACGTGGCCTCCCTAAACGAAGGTAAGAGATGGTACTAACAGACAGCTAAGCTAGAACGCAGCAAATGCAAATGTTTAAGAGGGTATGCCTCAGTATACTGAGTAATGTTAAATGCGATGTAGAAACGTTACCTTGGAATCCAGGCAAACCTCAAACTTTAAGACTACTAGTTATGATAAAATAAAATGATACATGAAAAAAAAGTACGTTTACCAAGGTAAAGGAAAGTACTAAAAAGGAACGAGGACCCAGATAAGTCATCTAGGAAATAAACTCTTTCAACGCAAAACCATTTTCAACAACCAACACCTGCTTACCTTGGCATTAAACTCGGACAGCAAATCAAAGTGTCTCTTCAGATCTGTGGCCAAGATAGCCTCAATTGCAAGAAATCTAAAGCGTTTAAACTCCACTGTTTCCAGCTCACACAGGAAATTGTACTTTGGGTCTGACATGAGAAGGGCGAAGGCGGCCGCAGCGTGATGGTTTTCCAGTACTGATCTGTCGTTATACAGCAAAGCCTGGGAAAATAAATAGGTGGTCAGTCATAACCTTGTTATATTCACGAGAAACAGAAGAAGCGGAAAGACGCCTTGCTCGAACTATACTCGCTCGCTCTCTCGCTTGCTTGCTAGCTCGTTCGTTCGTTCGTTCGTTCGTTCGTTCGTTCGCCGAACGAACGACCGACCGACCGAAAGAACGGTACTTTCGGTCGCTCGGTTGCTCTTAAGTACATTTCTAAGTTCGTTTCTAAATTCTTTCCTCAGTTGAATGATTCGTTCGTTGGTACACTCTTTATTTCCTACGCTGACTCGTTGGTTTGTTCGTTCCTTCGGGTTCTTTCTTTCGTTAGTTTTTCAGGTCTCAAACTGGCACAACTCTCAGTTGGTTCCGAAAACCCAGCGAAACAACTTTCAATCGGCGCTTCAATCAGCGCAAAGATGAGTTTTCTTTTCGGCTATTCAGAAAAAAAGCTAACATCAAATCGTGATTTGGCGATCGCGAGAAATTCTCGCAATGGTTGTCGGTCACGTTTTTCTTTGAGGAATGCTGTACAATTTGCGACACAAACACCAAAAAACAGCGGTAAACCCGCAGTAAAACCGCAATTCACACACATCTGCACCGAACGACTAAATAACTAAACAAACTTACTTGTGGTGAGAGAGTAGCAACAAGGAAAGCGTTGGTTCTGCCCGGGTGGTCGTAGTCGTGCATTGTAGCTGCTGTGTACAAAGCCAGCAGTTCTAGTAGTGGGATGGAATCCATCAATACCCCATAGTCACTGGTGTTGGTTTTCTGCCGCCCCTCTCCATTCAGCCCACTGTCGGAGTCTGATTCGCTATCGTTACTTAGTTTTGGGTTCAACGGACAGAAACCAGGAATCTTTTTAGTGGTCATGAAGAATACACCGTGAAGAACGTCCGATGCATGCATACAGTTATGATCTACAGAAAGCAATTGAAATTTGTTAGCAGAGACGACATCAAACAGTTAAACTCTCAATCTCCAGCTACACAATGCATAACGGTAACGTCGAGACCGCAAAACTGATTCCAATTTCAAACGCGAGGATGACCTCGCCATAATTGTCAACTACCAAAATTACCCAGTTGTACGTATTCTCTAGAGACTGCTCAAAATAACTTCTTCTCACTCTAACAGGCTGTACCAGCAAAATGATCGAGCCACAAAACACGCACCTATAAGCCGACTGCAGTTATGTGGCAAGCTATATGTCTTTCTACTAGGAGCCATCTTTAACTCGGTCGCTTAAACTAATGCGGCCATTTTCTCTGTCACTTTCTTTCTCGACGGACTGAGAAATGCGAGGGCTAACTCTTCATCTATAGAGTGTCCGACAAGTAAGTGAAAGGTCACGATTTGGATCTGATCTCTGGCTTAAGTTGGACTGCACTACAAAGCAAAATCTGTGTAAAGGATGAGATACTACTTAAGTATAAGGTACTACTTACATGGAATGTCGTGGTAGCCACTTTCCAGTTCAAAGAAAAAATTGAGGAATTTTGTCTCGGGAATTTTAAATGCCTCGAAAAGGCCAACTTTCCGAAACACTTTGTAAGTCACCTGTGATAGAAAAGACACATATCAAATCGATCGTTGCAAGCTCTGGCAAAAAGAGTATGGCATTCAAACTGCAATATGACACGGAATAACCGCTTACATCAACTGGGCATTTACTCGAGCAAAACCCTCCACAAAGATGAGGTCTAAAGTATTAACATTTAGAGAGCATATGAACTGTTTACATGACCAGCTCAACGTTTCTTCTACGTGATCAGAAATGAAGTTCTCATGTCCTCGTCTTTATCTCGGCACGATGTGTGAAGGGAGAAACTGTAAGTTAATCACCCTTGCGAGCGTGGCACTGAAAGACACCCACTCACTATCTCTTTGGTAACAACTTTGTTCGGCAATATCATGCTCAACTTAAGATCGCGAGTCCTGGCCACCCTGTTAGATTTTCAGGTCCGACGTCGACAAGACAAACTACACAACTAAATCACCCTTGTACTGTGGATCTTGTCCGCCCTAAATTGCAGTCAAGATGGTCCACTATTGAAACATATTTGGGAAAGAGAAAAATAACGGCAATCACAGCTGGAAAGAGTTTGTACCAATAAAAAAGACTCCCGTACATCTCACTGATATTCGTATTCAGGAAAGGCGAAACTATACCCAGAACTACCCTGGTGACATATTTACTTGCACCTCAAAAGTCTGTGATCAACTTCATGTAAACTCGCAGCAGTACTGTATAACCTTTCTGCCCTTACCTGCGTCAATATATTTCCGTGCTCACAAGCATCAAATATCGGAAAGTTCCAATCGCTGATTTGATCTAAAAGCTTATCAAGTTCTCTTGACTTCGGCAACACCCGATTCTCTTTGGCAAAATCAGGCTCCTTTACCGAGTCGTTGCGTGTTTGATTAGTGTCTTTTTCCTCTTCTGTTGACGAGGGGTTTGTATGACAGTCACATTTACATTGCTTAGATTTCACCTCGCTTTCATCGCTTTTCTTCTCTTCCTGATTTTCAGCCTGATCTAAAGCATCTTTAACAAGCTGTGTTTCTTCCCTACTAAGTCTTCTAAATACGTTTGAGGTAGCAAACATCCTATCGGGGGATTTTCTGAGCAAATTTGGCGACGAAGATACGGGCGACGTAGTCCCGCGGTCAGGCGACCGTCTGGGAAGGAGTGGAGAGCCAGACGGGGCCAAGTCCGGTGACAGTTTTCGCGACAGACCCGGTGATGCTTGAGCGGGGAAGCTGTGACTGAAGCAAGCGGGTCTGTGCTTCGGATAAGTCTCTTGAGGGCCATTTTTAGTGCCCGTTAGAGCTCCTTCTGCTAAGGAAGACTTCTGCGGGCTCTTATTTGCAAGAGTGGCACTACTTGTATTATTATGTTCGGAGAAAGTCACGACAGGCGGACGTGACACCGTCACGTCAGCATCAAGGGTAGGCATTCCGGTCGCCGACGTCGTAGTAGTCCACGTGCTTGACATGCGTCGCCCCTGGGAATTTAGCGTACGCCGAATTCGCTGGAGTTGAAAAGAGAAATCATTTTCGTCAGAAGTAATTTTACACTACTTATGAAGTCTACACACAGTGAATTAGGTTTTGGTGGATCAGCTGCTTCGTACCCAGGCATAGCTCCTTGGTCGTGCGCGGGGCGCGTGGAGTTGTGGGACTGTTACACTGAGTCCCACAAGTCCCAGGTTACTTCCCGCTCTTTATTCGTACCGACAAAATTCAAAGGTACCTGGGGACTAGGCAGGTAAATCCGTGTATCCGAGTTTACTACATGACAACCAACCTTGCCTTGTGAATAAATAATAGATGACTTGTTTTACAGACCAAAGAAAGCAAAACTTGTTAAGAAATTCTCAAAAACTTGCCCCAAAAGCACACTTTTTTGGGGGAGACTGATAAGATCTTTTCTTGATAAGCGTAATTAAAAAATCAGGGAAAACCTTTGGATACTTGAACCATTTCTTGGTGGTTCTAACAACAAAGGTGCCTTGTTCTCAAGGTCCAGTGCTGAATGTGGTCCTTGACCTCGTTCTTGGCCAATAACCCATAAATAAGTTGTATGAAACCTTTGTTCCAGTAACTGTATTGGAACACTTAAAGCCTACTCGCAGAACGATGAAATCTCCTTTGAAAAACACTTACCCCAACCATTGGTAAAGGCATATCATCCTTCAGATCTGGTTGATCCCTAACTTTATCTTCCTGGCTCTCATCGCGGAATTTCTCTATGAGAGGGGTCATTGGTGAAACAAATGGCCGCTGTACTGCATGAAAAGCAGTCGGCGGCGCAATCATTGTGCTGATGATTTTAAGAGTGCTTGCCACATTGGGAGGTAAATTTGAATCAGCTAGCAGATCTGAGATCATGCCATGAGCTTCTCCCAACGTTGTGCAATCTATAGTACCCTGTAATCAAATGCAAGAAATTTAATGTTAATCTACAGGTGAAGAATATGGCTAACAAAAATGTGATGTTACCACAGCTGCGCTTGTAAAGGCCAGGAAAATTAGGCAGACGGGTGTCTTTACAAGACGAAATGGCAAAATGACAGAACGTCACTGCGGTTAGCCTAAATAGTGGCCTTGTTAGCCTAAATAGCGCTCAGGTTTGCCTAAGTGTAACAGAATTGAAGGTGGCTAACTCTCAATAACTGTATGGGTTAACAGTATCCTACATTGTTTTAGTGCCATTTCATCATTTCACCATTTTGTGTTTTATACACGCCTAGCAGATATCATGAAATCATAAGTGTCCAGGGTGCAAAGAAAGTAGTGTCCGATAGCCTAGAGCCAGTGGATTTTGTAGGTGGCTGGTGGATTGTCCCCCTACTTGAAGTTTCTTGGGACAAGATTTGAGAAAATTCAAAAAACAGAGGTAACTGTAGGAGATAGATCTTTTTTTCAAGTAAATAAAAATTTCTTTTGCGTGAGTATATCATAGTTATAGCTTGCCAGAAGGGTCCCTGTCTGGTTTTTAACACCCCCCTCTGGTAGCACATTGTATTTTTGATCATTGTTATTACACTGGAACCTCGATTTAACGAAGTCGCTGGGGACCGGCCAAATTTGTTCGTTAAATCGAGGGTTCGTTATATCGAAAACCTCGATATAACGAATTTGACGGGAAACGACCAAAATGTTCGTTATATCGAGGTCATAGTTAATCATTGATTTGTAACACAGGTGACTTCTGTCACGCAATTCAATGCAATTTTCGTCACCCAGAAGTGCCACGTTTTGAGATGCAATTCATTAAACATGGTGGATTTCAGTATCAATTATTTTTACTTTTGAGCAGACGCGCAGCTTTTGTTTACAAAAGAACGACACTTTCAGAGTAGCGATTTAAAAATGTTGCAACGTAGAGGTTATACAGAAAATTGTCTATGTAAACAAGGAAACATTGTAATTCGTTATATCGAGGTAGATTTTACGTTTGGGCTTCCGGATTATGTTCGTTATATCGAAGAACTCGTTATATCGAGGTTCTATTCCATACATTTTACTTATATCAAGGACTTCGTTAAATAGAGGTTCGTTAAATCGAGGTTCCACTGTACTACTTGCACAGTGAACAGTACTTTTTTCCCTTTGCTTTTAGATTTCAAGAGAGCTTCCGTTGTTTGCTTCAAAAACTTCCACACTTCCACTCTTCCACTTTGTACAGGCTAGAAGGTCTGCAAGAATCAGAACCTCAGCTGAATTTAGAAAATGCTCTCTCAGTCAGAGACCAAATAATTGTCTCCATCAACCACCATATCACTAATTCTATGCAAGTACCAGTGTCTGGACACAGCTAACAGCTTATTGTAATCTTGTGCTCATGAGCAAATAAATCTTTTGCACCTAGTTAGCTACAGAACTTAATGTTGTGACTACTTAAAGCCTGGACATCACACCAACTATTGAACAAAACTGTTAAAGAACACAAAAAAAGGTAGATAAGAGAGTGGAGAGAAAAAAGACTGACATTTCTTGGAATTTTATCTCAAGTTACAAGTTCCAGCTTGAAGGGTGAAATTTTCATTAACACCGTTTTCATAAATCCAGACATATTTTTAGTGTTACTGATGCACAAAACAAGACATTAACACAATACTTTGTTTAGAAACAGCTGATTGTGAGACAAGGAGATTCTATGTGTATATTTCCTAAAAAGAAAAAAAAACCAGTCAACTCAACTTGAAATTTGAGTCATTTTAAACAACGAGGAATTTGAACTCTACATGTACTTCAATTAAAGTCTGCAATCAGTCGTTAAGCACAATTGACTTTTAAGACTTTTTATGAAACATACATCAACCTGTGGATTATTAGTATGACTTATAACCCATAATCAAGACACTTAATATCACAAAAGCCCAGATATTGAAATGTTAAATAATCCCTACAAAACTGGACCAAAACAAGACCATTGGTATGGCCAATACAGGCGCACCAAAATGTATCAAACACTGGGGAATAATACAGTTTTTTTTTTTAAATTAAAAAAAACTCATGACAACAGTCAGTGTTTTCACATTGTTCTATTAAATTTACAAGTGGCCTCTTCTGTTAAGAATTTTTTAAATTATGTTTGCTTCCTGTTTTGACTGCACAAAATGTACACAACACTTCACTTAACAAACTTAAAGTAGGTTTAATCAGATCTTAGGTCAATGGAAGTGGATAAAATGTCTGAAATGTTTTCAAAAGACTTCTGGTACTCAGCCTGCCAGCTGTTGTCTAGATACACAGGATTTTTCAAGAGAACAAAATCTCAATTTGTAACAATCTGAGAGTTTTGCAAGTATTCGTCATTCTCATAATTACTTCCCTGGGTTGAAAATAATTTTACATTCAGCTGAAAAGTTAGAAATGTATCAAAAATTTCCAACAGTCAAACACTTACTACTGTTCACTCATAGACCAGCAGCTTATACCCCGTGTAATATCATATCACATGCCTGTCACTTAAAAATGCCTTCCTTATTGTAGTAACCAATATTTCATAATTTATGGCGTTTAGAAACAAGAGTACATAAATTTGAGAAAACTTGATTCTTTAAGCATTAAATGAAAACTTCACAGGCATCTAATAGAAACCACATCAGGAGGTCCACTTTTCTTTTATTTTTGGTTGGGAGGCTCTGAAAATTCTCAGTACCGCATACTACAAAGAATAGACCATTTTACAGTTGTCTGCTCAGTGGCCTGGCCTTTGGATGGCAGTGAGGCCAGAGTTGACCTTGTTTTGATACAGACCTCACTGCTTTTTTTGTGTAAAACAAGTTGTTCTGATGCTAACTAGGTGCATTTACATTACAAAAACAATGAGGTCTGTATCAAAACAAGGTCAACTCCTGCCTCGCTGCCATCCAAAGGCCAGGTCTCTTAGCAGACAACTGTAAAATGGTCTATTCTGTCTTTTTCAAATTTTTGGGGGAACTATGGAAGAGGCTAAATATTAGCCAGTCGTCAAGGATTATATTAATTTTATAGTAATCACTTACATGTACACAGACCAAGTGTACTTTGGTTTAATGGTACGAAAGTAAGGCAGTTTCTTTGCAACAAAAAGGACAACACAAGGTCCTTTGGTTAAACATTACCAATTGCCACAAACATGTGATCACAACCTTCCAAGACGGCTTTTGTATAAATTTGATTTTAAATCAAACATTTCAATAAACAGGAAAACAGGAAAGCCTTGGTAGGAAAAAAAGGTTATTTTTGGGAAATTGTTTCTAATATTAAATATTAAAACATATCAACCGGTTTTAAAAATCTGATCACCATTCAAACACACAATATAACATAGCTGGAACTAAAATGGGAACATTCTTAATTAATGTACAGTTTATATTTTTAATGAAAATCATCTTTCAGGCCATAGTAAAATTTTTGGGTTAGAAAAAGTAGTAAGTACTACACTTTTTTAAATCAAACCTTATATTTTTTAATTCTGAGCTGCTACAGCCAACTTTAGTTTCAAACAAACAAACAAAACAAAAACTTTGCTTCTTGAAGGCAAGGAGTATTTTTTCCAGCCAGGATTTGTCATTAGTAGATATAGACACAGTTGCTTTGGTATTGTGTGAAAGAGCAAGCAGCATTGTATTCTATTTGGCACAAACCTCTCCTAATTCTGAGCTATTTTCTTTGTCATGATGGAATAAAGCTTATTAAATTTCATGCTATAAATATCACAATAATTACACACATTTGAAGAATCCTTTAAGTGCAATTTTACAGGTAAAAGGAATGGTGCCAAAAATACTCCTCACATCAGTTTAAAGCAATAATTGTTCATAAATGGCAACATTATCAAAACATAAAATGACAAACACTACTAATCAATTCAAGACAAAAAATTCTGACTACACAGGTCCTGTATATTGCTGATCTATGCAATAATAACAATAATTATTTCATTGCAAGATCAAAAGAGAATATAAGAGTGCCTTGGGAAATGAAATTTGTCTTCACATTTTTAAAAAAATAAGCTGGTTTTCACTTGTGGAAAGAAATTAAGTGGCTTTCTGACTTTAAGTTGCTTATTGTAAAGTAAACAGTACTTTATTGTCAGAGCAGCAAAGAGGCCACCAAGACAAACAGCATTTACATGCTGGCGTAAGTTGAAAATGTACTCTCTCTTCTGAAGAAAACAATGTATTTCCTGTAGCTTGTTTTCTTTTCCAAGCCATTTCTGTTTATTGTATAAATGTGCTCCACTACATTGTTCCTGGGTTTCATAATTGCATGTCACTGTCTGTGATGTTCACTAGGCTACACTGGTCTTCAAAACCCCAAAGATGTACAAGCACTTTCAAATTTGCAATATTAACAGGGTATTCCACATCAGCCTTGGCTGGTTTTAAAAGACTTCAAACAATAATATAGCTTCGTTAACTGGAAAGCAATTAGCAGCCTAATCCTTCAGTGGTTTTAAATTTACCTGTCCCAGTATTTAGGATTCCAAGTCTTTGATTTGCGGGAAGATGAAGTAAACCAGAATTGCATGTGGAATCTTTCTTCAGTCACATTACAAAAGCTCCATAGCCAATTTTACAACTGTAATATCACTTCAACAAAACCTTGAACATATTGTTACGACTTTTGATTTTCCAGTGTAAGAAATCCACAGAAAAGTGATTTTTCATGTACCAATCTATCTGTTTTCACTTGAAAGCAGAATTTTAAATAACAAGTGACCTTTTGTAAAATCTCTTTCCATCAGTTTCTTACAATTCTACCAACTAATGTCTTCTGTGCAAAATAAATTATTAATGTTGAACTTTCTATTCAAAGATTGTTAATTTTCAATTCCATTTAAATCATAGTTGAAGATATAGGTGTAAACATACTTCAAACTATTAGTTAAGATTCACAAAATATAGCAAACAAAAACTGACTTGGAAAACAAATCTCTAAAATGCTTATCTACATATAGAGAAAGCCTACATTTAAAAAGAACATTTCAGCAAACACACTGTGAACCCACCGAATAAAAGAACATGACAATTTGGTCAACCAATGAATATTTCATAGATTACGGGTTTAAAGTTTGCACCATGTGCTGAATGAAATTCTTTAAAACTCTCCAGAAAAATGCAAAGGTTACAGTTTTTCTCTTGACAGATAATAGTTTGAAGAAACCAATTCATCTGGTAAAAGTAGGTGGAATAAAAGAGAAATTTAGGGTTGGATTACAGCAAATATTTGAATGAGAAACAATCAAACATGCTAAAAGGGACTAGCTATACTTCATGTGGCCAAGTAAGAAAGCCTCCAAAGTCTTCTGTCTGACAAGGCTATCAGCTATTTTGACGAGTAAATATACCAATCAAGTTAAAATATTTTCCAGATGGAAATTATGATGTCTCTGTAAAGGATGAGAAAATTACCATTACCATTCTGTACAAAATATGCAAAAAACAATGTGGCCTTCAGTAACCTCGTTTAGATGCTTTTGCATTGCAACATGAACCATCAATTTTCGTCTCTTGGCATGCACAAAAATGAATCCAGTTGTATTTCTCACGGCATCCAAAAGCTGTTTTCATTTAAATGTGCATTCCTTGCAGTAAGCAGAGTGGAAAATGTTATGCATGTAAACAATCCCTGATAATTTGTTAGGCATGTGCCCTCACTTCTGACCTGATTGATGATCAGAACATAAAAGAAAAGTCAAAACACATGTTTTCTTGCACGAAGGTTTTAATGGCTTCATTGTCATATATTTAAGAAAGTTTAAGCCATCCAAAACTCAAGTTATACCAACATCAAGACAAATTTACATAACCTCGTTTCCTATGTAAACAACCAGAGCGCCTTCACAACAGCAACTTGACACTGGCTGCAACTGCTCTATATCTTTTTCAACAACACTCAAACTTTAGCCACTTCTAAATGACAACACAGGAATAGAAATAATACAACTCTGGATAATTTAATCGCACTTGTAAACCCGTATTTCCATATTCTTCGATGGTTAAGTGTGATTGACAACTAAAATCCGATTTGATGTTTTTTGGTATTTATTTATTTACTCAGACAGTAAGCATACCCTTGAAGAAAATAGCTATTTGGATAGGGGTGAATTTATAAATTAACCGCTACCCTGACCATGAAATACCGGGCAGTCTCGGATGTTTATCCTTTTAACAAACAATGTGGGCGAAAACAGTATTCCATATTGAATGGACGAAGAAGTAATCATTTGGAAAGCTAAACAGCAGAAATTACTTCAAGAATGAGTCGTGCGCCGTCTAAACAGACCCAAAATCTCCACGCATTGTTGTAACGTCTGAAAACGAAGACAAGGGAATTCGCATTTTTCTCACGACCGCAAAACTCTCAACGCCGAGCGCATGAATTTTTTATCAAAATTAGCTCGGTATTGCAATTTTGAGCAGTAAGATATTAGCCTTAATTTGCCAAACCGAAGGACGATTTTGACTTGTGGGAAGCGGACAGTTGTTGTTTATCTCATTTGCAAGATCTACAATTACATCTCGAGTCGTGCAATAAGATTTAGACGAAATGTACCGAGCTTTATTGAGCCAGTCTGTGAAGGGATCAACGAGAGCGCGAAGAAGGTCGCTTTGAAATTGATAATAACAATAACAATAATAATAGCTTGGCTTTCTCCATTTAGCTTTTAAGAAAAACATCGCGACGAAACAAATCCTGGCCTTTTCGCGTTTAGCCGAGCTTTGCCAGATTAGGAATAATTTCCATAACAAACGTTGAAGAACTAACAAAGAAATGATAATATATTGCACACTGAGAAATTGGCGAGGATTGCAGGTGATTCTAGATAACCGGCGTTGCTAAGATTAGAGAGCGATGCTTGGAGCTTCATAAATCTTGCGGTACCACTTGCAAACATTTCAGATCGCATAAGCCTCGACCTCGGACATCATCTACGATAAACATGTGCTATTCAAGTTCACAGAATCTGTGACATGATATTTTGGAAGATTTTTAATAATCACACTCATGAAAGTTTAATGGGTGTTCGAATGTACATCGCGTACATTGGATTTTCTCCCCGCCGCTAGTCGAACACTCCATCGCATGGAAAAGAACAACATTGAAATAAATCAAAGACGCCGCTGGCTTCGAACTGGCTTTTTCGAATACGGACACCAGCGCAGCTATAGAAATACAAACAGAAGGCCCACAGTAAACAGTATTACAATAAATACAGGGGAAATGTTAAATGAACGCCTTGTTACTCGACCACGTTCTGTTAAATTAGACGAACCTTGATGCAGAAACCATTCCTGTCTGAAAGCTCGCTTGACAGGTCAAAGATCCTGGGTAGTTATAAACTGCTCTTCCAACCATTAATATAAAGATCGTAATCTATAGCTAAGGAAGTGAACGAGGCTTTCACATAGGTTTACTTACCTTGGTTTGGATTCCCAGCGCTGGAAGCGAAGTTCTTCTTCTACTATTTAAACTGCTAGTTGAAGACACGCTTGAAGTTCGTCTTCGAATTATAGGAGCTTTGCTTTGAATAACCTCACCCGGACTCGGAGAAAACCATGCTTGAATATTTCTTGATAATATCAGCCCACTAAATGCTGAAAAATAGGCTAGAAATGGCCGCAAAAACGACGGAATATCACGAAGTGTAATCCAGCATGACATCCGAGCTGTTGTAAGTAACAACAGCGCTATACTTGTGGGAAGAATTTTTAGTTTTGAAAATACAACTGTTACAAGCCCCGCCATCACAAGGGTAAAGAGAAACGTAGTTCGTAGGAAATCCGATCCACCGAGGATAACTTGTGTACAAAGTTCTCCTAACAGACAAACGGGGAACACAACATACGAGATCTGGCTCTTGCAGTATTTGTGAATGAGAAGTTCAGCCCAATAGAACACACAAATCAAGCAAACAAGCGGTAAAAATATTGTAAAGATACGCTGTACCACCGTGCAAAATCCATGAAGAACTCCCTCTGGAACCGAAGCGAAGACAAGCCAAAGTAGGCATAGCAAAATAAATCCACTGCCCGATTCCACGGGACCAACTCTCACCTTACCATTTAACAATGTCCAAGACGTAAACTGGGGCCTGTCAAGCGAAGCGACCGTCGTTGTGATATATCCATTGTAAGATTCTTTGTCTTTGTCTTTAAGTTGGGGTTCTTTTAGAAGATTAAGTTCTCCTGGAGGAGCCATGTTAATTTATCCCATTCGGAAAATTGCCAAAAAGCGGAGAAATTCAAATATTCGAATTGCGCTCCGCTATTCCATGCTTCGTTCGCTTACTTTGTTTCGGCAGCGAAACGTCTCTTTCGGTTCGGGCTAGCAGCGCCAAGTATCCTGGGAAGAAACTGGACCAATCAAATGACAGCATTTTATCTCTTATTGTTGATCATTTGAGGCGTTGACGTCATTCCTGTCACGCGAAATCGCTTTGAAAATTTGACAATTTCTCTCTCAAAATGAAGCAAAACTAAAAAGGCCGTTTCCTACGCAATTGACCTTCCTTTTTACCTAAATTAAGCGCTGTGTTACGCAAATCGCTCATCGAAATAGCGCATAATAATGAAAGGGCGCGAAAATGGCCCGAAATTACCATGATAAAATTTTTCCTAAAATGCAAAATAGATCGGGGTGAATGTTAATTCGTATTTTTAACTGCGACAAACTGCAGTCTGTTTCGAAGTCATTTACCATAGAAAAGGAAAATTACAGCTTATACGGACGTGCAATTAAGGTTTCCAATTCGCCAATCTATGAAAATGTAACGAACGTACCATTTACACCTGGAACATAGGTAATCTTTGTTTTTCTCAATACGAGGGGAACAATCCTCAGACATTTGAATAACGAAATCTGTTTTCGGTCACAAAGGCTTCTTTATCCCTACGATCCGGCGCAACATACATAAGTCCAATTTGAAGTTTTTCATCGATGCATAAAAAACGACAGTGTACAAAAGTAATTTTCAAATTCGCGGAGACAATCGGACAATTTGGGAAGGCTTCCGACAAAACAACTCGAGATTTCAAAACACTGAAAACTACCATGTTTTCATTTGTCTGGCGTAACACTAAAATATTTAATTTTATTGTCGGCCTTTTTAAACCCATTAAAATTCGCCCTCTTTTGTTTACAGAAACAAAAGAAATAATTTGCCGTTTAAAGAAAAATGTGGATTCGACCTAATATGATCTATATATTTATATATTTAATTATATACAGACGATAAAATTGTCCCAACAATAGCCGTTGTCAGAAAAAAAACTTTTGATTTCTACAGCAGCTAGTATTTGCGACAGGTAAACATTGAAAGACCCGACTTTAGTAAACAACCTTAATTAATTTCCAGAGAAAGGACGAAAACAACATAGGAGGCCACAGGAGGTGCTTTTCTCTCCTTTACGTCTGAAGTTATAATCACTTTTGCCGCAAAACGGAATGCAAAGGAAAACAAAGTAATCTTAAAATACAACTGAGATCTTTGCAAACCAATTATTTTAATATTCTGTCAACTCCTGTATAACGAAAAAGCGTGAAAAATTACACTCTAGTTGCAAAGGAAGATAGTAATAGTAAAATTTGTCGCGTCTGCTTTTAGACCAAGTCTAAAGCTCAGAAGCTTGTTTTCCATTGCTGGGTTATTTATTAGTCTAATTATGAAGAATATTAATTTATACACACGGATTCCGGTCGTCTGAAGTGCCCTCATACGAATTTGCCCGCTTTAGATAAAGCGCAGTTTAGCAACCCGAAAACTGCGGACTTGGTCCGGTCAGGAATGGTTTTGAAGATCATCCATATAGTCGTTGTTCCGGCGACTGGGAATTTTATCACTGTATCTTTTGTAGACAACTGGATCGCGACCGAAAGCAGCGCGCTAGGGCGATCCCAACTTCTTTAGCCTTGGCCTTTTAATTTAGCCTTATGCTCATCTCATTCTAAGTTTACATGAAGAAAACTCGGAAATAGAGGAAAATGCGTTGGTGTGAAAAGTAACAAATGTTTGCGTTACGACCGCTAAAGCAGTTCCCTTGCCCCACCTCCTGGTTCCTTTCCTGTCTCTTAGATGGGATGCTAACCCATTGTGCAGGCCTCCCAAGACATTTATTAGTAACCAGACTGAGAGCCCAGTGGCCAAACAACTTGCCCGTCTTCGTTGATTAACAGACCTTGGCCCACGGTCTTGCCATCAGATGCCCTCGACAAATTCTGAGACAAAATGGCATGCAATTTATAACCTCTACCGTAACTTGCGATCAGGTGTTCCTATTTTTTGAGGAGGCGGCAGTTTTCTCGCGTTGTGCAAAAATAAGAACGCCTGATCGTAAGGTACCAGGAGGGTACCATTGTTGGTTCTCGCCTTAGCATAAGATTTCTTCTGTGTTTACTGTTCATCTTCGTCTGCCAAATTTGATTATACGTCAGTTTCTTGCAACATTACAATAATTGAGCTGACGGACATAGATGCAAAACGCACAGTCTAACAATGCCAGGCTCTTTTCTGTCGTTGGCCGCCTTTTCCAGTTTATCGCATTAAAATTTTCATTTTCATGGATTTAATGTCCCCTCTCCGTCTCTAAAGGCACTGTTATGTTTTGTTTGTTTGTTTGTTCGCGTTCACTTTCTTTTGTTGCAAGAGGACTGGTACTTGTGTTACATCCGGGATATATGATATATCCCACAATTCTCTACGGCCATGCCTGAAAAGGAGGCCTTCTTTCTTCCACGCGGTCGAGGCCGTCTTCGTTGTAAAGCGAGGCTCTCCTCGAAAGTTTGGCGCTTTTATTTTTAGCAGCTTTCCTGTCTCGCTTTCAAGCGTAAACAAGGAAAACTATTTCATTCATATCAGTGATCATATTGTCAGTCTTGGCTTCGCAAGAACCTGTCGATTTTGAAGGCGATGGCGGCGGATTCCGCCGAAACGTTGTCGAGCGAGGCCATTCAGCAACAAATCATGGCTACTGAACAAGTTTCCGCGGCCGAAGCTCTCCAAGACGCCATGTCAGCGAACATTTCAACAACTATTCAAACTATTTCACAGCAGAATGGGGGAATCACCACCATTTCCTCATCGACTTTACCCGAGACAATGACGACTACTGAAGCGATGATGGCGACGGAAAGCATTTCAGTTGGTACACAACAAGGGGCTTCGGCCACGTTGAGCGGGCAAGATCAAGAAATCGTGGATACTATTCCCCAAGTCCAGGAACACGAGTCCGTTGTGAGTGTCGCTGGAAGTCAGGAAAGTCTGGTCATTTCAACTGAAAATGTTGCCATTACTACGAGTGCTTCGCTTGATGCTTCGCAACAAATAGCGAATTTGTCCAGTTCGGTACAAGCGAATTATCCATGGGCCGCGCGACTTCATGATTGTGAACTTATAGGGGATTCCTACAGGGGATATGTAACAAGTGAAGTGGAACTAGACTTGATCCTGACATTACACAAACAGCACACCAACAGCTGCTGGGGAACAAGGCAGTCTCCTTCATCTGCTAAACCGTCTATCCGTCTGATGTGGAAATCACAGTATGTACCATACGATGGCATACCATTCCTCAATACAGGTATTTGATTTGATTTGTTTGTTTGTTTATTTATATATGCTCATAAATTTATGTTTCAACTGTCATGAAACTCACCTCGCCACGCCCCACTCTTTTGTTATTTAGTACACAATGGAGAGAACGAGAGATGTCTTTCCTCTCTTCTATGACAGTAATGATTGAAATGCAAGTAGATTTTAAAAGTCCATTTCTGTATCATTTGGTGTAAAACCAAAACCAATAAGCCCTTTGCAGTTAAGCCATCACATGACCTATTTTCATAAAATTATGGGCTATAACTTAACGAATGCCAGAAATGGAAAAAGCATGTCGAAAATATCAAAATGGCCAAGTTTGAGGCCCAAGTCATTAAAAAAAGAGATTGTATGACAGTCCAAATTTTTAAAAGAACAAAAAGATTTGTATGGAAAAAGTTGCTGGAGAACAAGACCTTGCTCTCCAGCAACATTTTACATACAAATCCTCTAAATTTTCCAAAAATTCAAATTGTCGTATAAACTTACTCTTTAATTCCAGGGGCCTCAAACTTGGCCATTTTGGTATTTTCAATGCGCTCTTTCCAATTTTGGCATTCTTTTAGTTATAGCCCATAATATAGAAATTTTCTAGGAAAAATTTGGTCACATGACCCCAGCTGCAAAGGGCCTATTGTGACTCGCTTGCACGCATTTTCCTGTGCTTTGTGTCAGCTACATGTAATTACTTCGAGTTTTGATTGGTTCAGTGGATTGTCTGAGTCCTTTGTGATTGGCTGCAGTGATTGGCAGAGTGATTACTTTGGTTTTGGTCTTGAAAACCGCTCTAATTGGTCTAAAAATCTTGCACCAATTTCTGATCCATTTAGAAGTAAAACCAAAACCAGCAACAATGTGCTCAAACACACTCCTGTGCTTTGTTTCAGTTACATGTATTTTGGTCTGTTAGCACTTAAATAAACTGCTCTAAACATCAGCAAAAGTGATACTAATACACATTTATTTATAAGGTCGACGAGCAACAGTAATGGAATGTCAATACGGACCAAGAAGGAAGGGAGCTGTCAACAAGAAACAGCTGGACTATGATGAACATGGCCGTCCAATGAAAAGACATCGGCCTACATGTCCTGCCAGGATTTATGTCAAGAAAGTGCGTAAATTTCCAGAGTTCAGGATAGATCCGAATCTGGAAGGAAAGAATGTCCGACAGGCCCAGGAGAGAGCATTAACGGCACTTAGGCTGGCAGGGGTGCATGATGGTGGAGAGGAGAGGTAAACATGGGGCTACCCTGCCTAAATAAAGATGACTTGACTTGACATGTAAAGAAAAATATGGTTAAATGGCTAAGAGAAGACAGACAATATTGGATTTGTTAGCTAATCCAGGTGTTTTCTTTTACAGGTACTATGTTCAACTTCCACTTCCTCTAGCTCATGAATACCATGATGTCGATGACATCCCTATGGACCCTGACGAGGGTGACTCACAAGGACAGCGTCTCAATCCTGAAGTCATGCACAAGATCCGCGAACTTGTGGCAAGAGGTGTCAGTGGGATCTACACTGTTAAACATTGCTTGAAGGAGTATGTTGAGAAAGAACTGTTTATAAATTTGGAGCCACCACCTAGACATAACAAGTCATATTTCCCCACCATCATTGATATCCAGAATCACATTCACCAAGCACAGATGGCACTAGCTACTGGTGCTCTTATGCCTCTTCCCCCGGTAAGTTGGGTGGTTGCATAACCTCTTTTGTTTTTGTATACCACTTTTTCATTGCCTGGTTTCTCAAAGAGATTTTCAATTCAGACTTTTCTCTTAACTCAGAAACTTAATTATTTGTGGTAAGTAAAAGCTTGTGGCTTTTAAACAGGTCAAATTTCTTGTGGTACAAAAATATGAAAAATATGCAAATGTATGTTGTAGCAGATATAAAGGTGTATTAAAGTAAAAATACACTTGTTAATACATGTACCTCCTTCTAACAAGGAGAAATGACAAGTTGATCAGGGTACCGTTATTAATAACATTTGACATAAGAGGATTTCTCATCTCTCTTAGTACAATTGTAATGATAATCTCACTTGTAGTCAATTTTTTTTTATTTTTGCTAGCTCACAAATCTTCCAGCAAGCTCTCCACAACTTAAGGAGAAAACCCGTAAACGGAAGCATGCACCAGAAAAGCTATCACAGTCATCGCAGACAACAGCTGAGGCTATTGCAAGTATTCAGCAGCATTATCAGTCAGCGCGGCCATCAATATTAACTACTCAAGATCAAGAACACTTGATTCAACAGGTAATGCAAAATTGCACTGTTTCAGCTACACATATGGAAGACTGGCTGTGCAAATCCTAAGTTTCTGAAAGGACATGACTGTAGCTACATGTAGTACTTAACAAGTAGTTTAAATTACACATAGTTTTCTGTATCCTCTAGTTTGTAAAATGTTTAAATGCAATCTTGTAGTTTAAGTGTTGACTTCTTCATTATAAATTTTATCCATGCTAATCATTATGTTTTCTTTCTTGTATATCTTGACAAATAAGATGTTCTAAAGAGAAAGTCACACTATGTGTTTGCCATATCTAAATGGTTTGTTTGGTTTGTGGAAATTAAGTGCACTGGCTAGATGGAAAACTACATGTGCGAGGAGCCTTTTAACAAATTGTGTCATTTGTGTAGAACAAAATAGACAAAATTTGTTTTTGTCTGAAAGGTGATATTTCTCTTTGAAAAAAGGACGAAATCATACAGTAGATTACAAATTGTGTAAAAATTAGATGAGATAAATTTCCATCTTTCTGCACTGGCCTAATGAAAACGTTCTTGGCACTCTTGCTCAGTCACCTGGTATTTCTAACTTTCCTAGGTTTCTCAAAAATTTTAACTTTTCTACAACATTTCTGAAAATCTTGACAAAATAAAAGGAAATTCAGATTTTCGGTCCTGTTTTGATATTCTCCATATTTACAGTCAGGTGCTCTTAAATGTTACCCTAGAGGAAGTAGTTTTGATCTGTAACAGATGTTTTCCTCTCTTCCAGAGTGGCAGAGAAAATTACCAAGCTACTGAGGCTCACCAGCTTGAGATTATCCAAGGCTCCGAGGGAGAAACTTCTGAAGTGGATATTTCTGCTCAGCCACAGATCCTTATCACCCAGGGCACTGGCACAGGAAGAGATGAAGGTAACAGCTGGAAACTTTCACTATATTACACTTTTTGTTTTATAATCAAAAGATTGGTGTTCTACCTGAAAGCCAAACCATAGCTGACTTCTTCTAAATCACCCTACGATATAATGAGATCAACTTTTCTTGTCAGCATATATATGCTATACTCACTGGGTTCTCAGTAGAAGCCAGCAGCCAGTGGAATTCCACCTGCTGTAAAGATGAATGTAGCTGGCTGCGCTGGTTAATAAAATTTGCTAGTGCTACGTCTAATGTTATGCTCATAAACAACTCATCTTCGGTAAGCTCATCAAGTGCTTAAATACAACACTTTGCCCCCCAAAATCCATGAAATTGCATCTTTGGCAACCTGCATGCCCCTGGACCCCCCTAAGTTGGCTTGGCCCTTCAGACTTTGCTTTTCACTGCCTGTTATGCTTTATTGGCCACCTGTGAAAAAATCCTACGGAGAACCCTGACTCGTACGTCTAACTGCAAATTGAAAACAGTATTCTTTGTGAGATTATATAAGACATACATGTCTGTACTTAATATTTCATGGACAGTCAGGTATTAAAACCTTATTTTCCATATTTAACGCGGAGATGCAAACTTTGAATGATACATGACAGAATACAGGTGCACCGTAGAGGTGAAGGAATGAATAAAAGAAAAACTAATAATACAGTGGAACCACCACCTCTCTCAACAGCCACTCTTTGTGTTCCGGTAGACAGCCCATTACACTCACTCTTATATGTATTGACTAATAATAGTAAATAATCTTTATGGAGGAAGCTCCTGTCGCATTGCATGGTTTTCAGGGAGGTCCTTAGTAACTAGGGTAAAATAAAGTTAAAATTTTAAAACTAATCGCAATCCAAGTAGTAATAAACAGTGGAAGTAAAAATGGAAAATCACTTTAAAAATTTAAACCTATCAAATAACAACATTCTAAAAGAATTAAAAGGAAGCTTTTTTATGTCCATAGGCATGGCATTCCAATCGGCTAAATGACTATTTACTGATATTCTATATTCTAATGCTTTCCCATGCCATGCTACATTATGCTATGCTATTATATTCCATTCTATACTAACTGCACCACTTTCTTTCCTTGATCTAGGTCAAGTTGTTATTGTTGTGAATGCCAGCAGTTTCTTCTCTGGTCAATCTGATTCTGAGACACCAACAACACTTTCATTAACTATACCAGCTTCACAAGTGGCTAGCTTGAGCCATGCCTCTCTACACTCCGGGGCTGGATCACAGGCAGTTACCTTCATTCCACAGCAAGCTGATCCAGCAACAGTTCAGACATCTGGATCTGCTACAACTCCTCAGACTGTTGCATTCATTCCACAGTCGTTAGACAACAGTCGTGGTGCTGTGGCTTTCTTAACATCTCAGCAGACAGACAATACTAGTCAAGTGCCTGTGTCTGCAGCCTATCTTGCAACAAATGGACAGTCAAGCAACATCTTGAGTATGCTGGACTCTGCATTGCAAGCATCTGCTGGAGCCTCTGCCCCTGTGCTTCAAGTAGGTACAAATCTAGGAGCAGTCCAGATGACTGACAACAGTCAGACAACTGAAACAGGTAAATGTATTGTCTAAATACTAATGCAAATGTGTATGCAATGAAATTATAAGGCATAACTACATCAGTGACAATGTAAACAGCAGAAATCAGAGCTCAATCCATCTCAGGTTCCCCGATTTTCCTCAATTATTCAAGAATACTAAGTGGAAACAAGGCAATATTGGAGAAACTTGCCCTACAATCGAGATCATACTTTTCCCTTCCCTCAATCTTTTTCAATACCTTGAGCCATGTGTTGGACCTACGTCATGTACATGTGTATTCTCTACAACAAGTGGTTGTCTACATGTACACTGTGAAACAGTAATTCTAAATGTGTACAAATGTTTACCATGGTTTTCAGTTCCTGGACAAGTGTTGACAGCTCAAGCAGCTGTTGAAGCTGTTATCAGTGCTACAACAGCCAGGGAAGAAACAAAACAATTAAGTGCAGGAGAAGAGAGTGTTGAGGGTGAACCTGAAGCTAAGCGTCAGAACCTTGGAATGGACTTCTCATCACTGGTCAAGGAGGCAGTGTTTGATAGTCAACAGGTACTGCACATGTCGTGAGTTAAAGAGATAGACCTGAACAGTTGTATGTTGTTAACTTTTGGTCTCTCTCTGTAGACCCATTTCATAAATGGCTGCCAACTGTGAATTCTTTTGTAAGTATTAAAATAAGCCTGATTAACCTTGTTATTGAGTTGATAATTTAAAGAATTTTTTCTCTCAAACGGGTCTAGTCAGGCTAATTTACATGTAAATGCATACAAAAGAATTTTAAACTGGCAGCCCTTCATGAAAAGAGTCTACATGGTTTTGTAAACTATCCGTCAATCAGATAAACTGTAAACACTGTAGCAGCTCACTGGCCAGCATGTTCCACGTGACTGGCCACACATTGGGATTCAACCTAGTGTAAGGTAATGTTAAACTTGAACCACTGTCTTACACTGCTTGTGTCCATAGCAGAGAGTTTGGCCCCCCCCCCCCCCCCCCCCCCCCTATAGTCAGTCTTTTATAGGGAGTATTCTCCACCCCCGAAAATATTGAAGCACTTCAAGTACTTCGTATAAGCAGGACAAGCAAGGGTACTGAGCCATAATTTTAGCACTTAAATACAGCAAAATCGCCANCCCCCCCCCCCAGTATAGGGTGCTAGTCCAATCCCAAGTTATCCTCCAGCATTTCGTTGCCCAAATAAGTTGAGTATTTGCTGGAACATATTTGCACACTTGGCCAAGAACACAACAGAGTGGAGGATCACTCCATTCAGAGTCCATCACACTCACCATTAGGTTGCAGTGTCTCCTGAAACCCGATGATGTTAAAATAGCCTACTTTCTCTTAATAGGTTGAAACAGAAACTACTGAAGGGCAATTACGAAGCACGATAAAAAGTGACCAGCCACAAATGGTTACTATTCCTACATCGACAACTGCCCCGGAAACAGAAAACACACAGCTTGTCAGTCTATCACAAACCAATGAGGGTGGGAATTTCATTGCCATGGAAACAAGGCCAGTTGTCATGGTAACAGAATCTGTTCTGCCATCAATGCAGGATGGACATGGAATTGTTACAGATTATCACGACAATAACCATTCATTACTTGAAGACAGAGATGAAAAACTGGCTGGACAGGATATCCAGCCTTACAAACTTGCCGAACAAACCACATTACAACCACAGCAAACTGATGCACCTTACGAAACCAAGATTCCTTCTCCTGAAATACCTCACATGATGGAAACACCCCAAGATGTCCTAGTCTCCATGGAAACAGCTTCTAAAGAAGCTAAAGAACACACACCTGTTGATGAAAACAGTTTGAAGACAGCAGAAGAAGAACAGAATATTCAGGGTTATACGGTGCAGGCCCCATGCACAGAAAGCACCAACAACAGCGGACAAATGAATGTGCCACTTATGTTTGAAAGTGGCCAACAGCTATCTGAAGATGAAGCTTCAAGCATATCTCATTCGAATGTTGTTCCCACAGTGAATAACACAAGAGAAGTTTTTACGCAGTAAATCGAACCTAGTGTTGTGTTACTTTCATGAACTTTACCGTGATTACAACAGTTTCTTGACGTGAGGTACCTCTTAACTTCCGCACTCTTTTTGAACAAGTCTACTACATGTAGTGTTGGACACATCAGAACCTTAGACCCGAAGAAACAATTTAATTCTGATTTTCTGTGGATTACTTTGTTTCGTATACATAGAGAGAGAAACCTCATTTAATCTTCAGTAGTGATTTTACTGTTGGTGCATAGGAGCACGGCAATGCCTCGTCCTTGCTTTAGGGGTTCTGCTGCGAATTCATCGCGGTGGGACGAATTCATCGACCACGCCCCAGACGAAAGCGTTCCCAACGCGCGACCATGCAACCGTGGGAATGTCCCAGGGAAGGGGCAAAAGTAACTACTTTTATCGAACAGTTTACTGTCAATACTTCTGATTTCTGAAAGAAAACTTACAGAAGCACAGTTTTTCGAAGGGCAACATCGAGCTCTTCGACCTTGACAGTTCTCGATCCATTTCTTAAAAAAATATATCTGTAAATGTAATGCATTCGTCCATTCACGTTGAAGGTCAAAGATCAACTTTTTAACTTATTCGTCAGAACAAACTTTGAGAACTCGCTGAGTCGTCAGAAGGATTCGAGGTCGAAACAATAATAACTCAGTTGTTGTGCTTGCGAAGATTAAAACAAATGAACAGAAGTCCTCTTTTTATTGCGCTCTTTATTGTGCTATTTAAGGCGCGTTATTCGCTTAAATAAATGATTTACGATGTCAAATCCCTGCCGGCATACTGCGGAGATGAAAGGCGAATCGGTCGAGGCAAAACTCGTGCCAAATGTACGAAGATATTGTAGCAGTATAATTCCCTAGTACCACGCCAATGGAGAAGATGATTATCGTAAACAGCGCTCGTGAAATTCAGACAGTCAATCACTGTAGCCGCAACTAGTGAAACAAAGCAAGTAGAACTCGCCGCTGACTTGGCGGCGCAAAGCGCGGGAAAAGTTGCGTTGTTCAAGTCGCAAGTAGTTTTTGTTTTCAACCTGGTTGGTGGATGCAACAGCTCATTCACTCTGATTAGCCAAAAACGCCTTGGACCATTAAAAGAGGCACCTACAGGGTTACTATATTATTGGCAATTTACCAAGCGTGACCGAGGATTTGAACTCGGGACTACCGAGAAAGAAACCCCGCCAGTTGCTGGGTGGAGGCCTTGAACCCGGGACCTTCGGATTTCAACACCAGCGCCCTAAACTACTCGGCAACGCTGCCTCTCTTCCACGCTGCCTCCAAGAGTAAATAAACCTAACATTGTGAGTAAGAGAATGAACTGTCTCCTAGACAATCTTTTTATGGCTCCTGTTTGCTACAAGTGTTACTAATGTGAATAAAAAATCTTGAAGTGAGGCTACAACTTTCTACTTTGGTATGTGCTTTCGCCAAGTCCCTTTCTTTTATATTCATGTAGATGATTCGTCAGACATACATGATTGACCGAAATCCCCAGTCACATTTTCGAAGACCATTTTTTCTGTTGGTGATCAAGGGCGTGAGCAAATTTAACTACTGCTGCAATGAAAGAGCGCCAACGCAAGAGAAAACAAAGAAACCGCTGTGATCACAGAGAATTCTTTGTGCGCAGAGTTACATTGACTTTGCCAGCGAAACACTGTCTTGACCATTACACTGAAGACTACTGAATATTTAATCGAACTCGGCGAGAGCAGGTAATCTCTTTCCAGATCTCCTTCTGACAATCTTCATTCTCGTCCCAAGAGCCGCCAATGCCTCTTAGCTCTGTAAACAAATTTGATGGGCTACAGTTTTGGACTACTTGCTGGCTTCCTTCCAGAAATTATCTCTGGTTGATTTCCTAATTGAAATTGATCGATCAGAGCGCCTACACTGACCTTCAAAAAAATTGAAAACTGGTCGAAGTCCTCCACAACGAGACAAGTGAATGCCGCTTGTGGCGAGAATTTTGCTTGTTTTAAATTCCTTTTGTTAGAATCTATTAGGGTCCGTAGGAGCTGTTTCAATTGAACGGTCAGTTAAATCAATGGACATTTTCCGGAGGGCAACCAGCGTTGAATTCAGTAGTCAAAACAAGTCCAGGATTTAAGCCAATTAAATCATATCTCCAAAGTCACCTTATCCTCGTACACAGGCCACGTTGGCTAAGAGAAACAGGCAGTTCTGGCTGGACTTTCCACAATGAGTGTTCCGTTAGAAAATGAAGACAAGCAGAACTGAAGTATAACATATTTCATTCATCAAAATTACACAAAGATATTCTACTTACTAAATGCAATCATCTGATTAATATAAAATGGAGCCAGGATAAGAGAATTACAAATGCTTGAGCTGACCGCATTATTGCTGCCTTATACTGAAATTATTCATCACGCGGTTTATTTTGTAAAACTTTCACAAATGCTTCAAACTCCGGCTAATAAGGTATCTTTTAATTAAGACTATACTTCGCTTATGTTAATGTTCAATGCACTTACTTCCATGGCGAGTTTTCTTAACTTTCCTTAATCACGATTGCTACAAATATAGGAGAAGCAGTTGAACGATAACATACCAACCCATGTATCACATGCGTCTACATTCTTAAATTAACAAAGAGATTTAAAAACGCGTTTGCGACAGAAAATTTGACATTATTTTTCTAGTAGTTTCAGTTTATTTTCCCAAAAAATACGTGAAAGGAAAAGTTCTTTGGACACTCCTGAGCTGCGCATAAGCTCGGGATTTCTAAATTGCCTTTTGCTACTAAGATTAAGCTACGTGAGAAAACTTGACTTGAACTTGGCAATTGCTATCAAACACACTTAACAACAAGCTAAAATCATTTCGTAATCAAGAAGATTTATATTAGCAGTTTCTGACATGGTAGTGCAAAGTCAGGATTAAACATCTTGGTTGTTACTCCATGGCCACACAATGGTCTCTAAAATGACCAGTTCATCCTGGTAACTACAAACGACGAGAGAAAAAAAGAGAGTCTAAACTACAAATGATAGCTAATCGGAATGATCGTACAACGACTGTCTGCAATCCTGCATCACATGCTCAGCGCCTCGGTCCTTATATCGATTGTGATTTAACAAGGCATAACTTTCGTTTCTTGGGACGTGGTCCACCCATCGATTTAGCAGTCTCCATATGCATTTCAAAGCAAATGAAAGTATCCTTTCTCACTTGCTCAGGGAACTTTTGATACCCCAAAGTACCAGTTGACGACGCCTTCTCTTTCATTTTCTCTCCCAGAACAACGGTTTTGATTCCTTCCATCGCCAGTAACGGAGTGCATTCATTGCACGGCGTCTTCGTTACAAATAAGATCCCATTTGCGAGGTTCTTGGTGTTGCGCAAGAGCAGGGCGTTTTGTTCAGCGTGGATTGTGAACGGATATTTTTTTCGCTCAACTTGGTCGTCATGAGAAGCCCTCGGGAACTCACCATAAAGGGCTTTTGTAGGGAACCCATTCCAGCCAAGAGCTACGATTTCTAAAGCTGTGTTTGTGATGACTGCTCCTACTCCTGTTTTTGGGTCGTCTGATCTCTCAGCTAAGAACCTGGCCATGGTTATCAAGAATGAAGTCTGCTTCTTCTCAACGCCCGGGTTAAACGGTACCGTTTTGGCAAGTTTTTTATTTTTTTGTGGGATGTTTTTACCATCCTCCGAAAGGTATGACCTTTCTTCTCTTCGATCAAAATTGGAGCCATCCATTCCATGATGGCGTCAAAATCTTTTAGGACCTGGTGTTTCATATTCTCATCGAACGCTGGCCATGGAAGATTATCCCTGGCCGTCCCGATCCATTTGTCATTGCAGTACAATTTCAACAGCTCTTTCTTTATATTATCTCTAGTTTTCTTTGAAGGCGCGTGCTTCCCTTCGGAATTTTCAAGCACATCGCGTCCAACTGTCGGTACAAACACAGACTGGCCTGCAGAGCTCGCTTTGAATAAGTCATCGACGCGTGAAGTTTCCTCTTTGAAGTCCTCTACATCTTTGTATTCGGGCTCAATTGGCAGGTAGAACACCCTCTTGATTTTACATTGCACAAGAAGCTTTGTGCAAAAAGAGCAAGGCTTTCGTGACACAAAGATTTTACAATCTTTTGTTACATCGTAGTGTTTCGTCAACAAACGAGCTATGCCGTGGACGCCATCACGACTGCAGTCAACAGCATAAAGCATGTCATTTGGTAGAACGAGGACAGCTCCGACTTTTCTGTAGGAATTAGCCTCTTGATTGTCGTCATCCTTCGCAGGAAACTGCTCCATACAAAGCGCAAGAACCATGGAGATATTGTCTTTCGATATCCCGGGTCCACGGTCCGTGTAAATGGGCTTAGTGGTAGGTTGCGAGGAAGACGATGCATCTGTGGTTGAATCCATTTTGATATTTGACCGTACAAAACAGTGACTCTGTTAGTGAAAGGACTCAACCAAATTCGCCATTTAATAGTTCAATCGCTCATTGTTAAGACAAAAACCCTTGTTACGTAAATCAACTCTTTATTCTGAGAAACAGACTTCTTTGTCATGCAAAATAGAAATGGAAAGTAACCCAGAGAATAGAAACCCTTAAATTCTCAAGAACCGACTGCTTATGATTTATGATTTTGTCGATGCAGATTAGTAGTCATTAGTGTGAAAACAGGCTATCGCAGGAGCTCATGACATTTGTACATGGGTCGTGGGTCATGGGCTCCTTATATAGGTTCAGAACACTGGGGGCCAACATATGGAGGTATATCTATGACAAAATTCGGTACTCAGTAATTGATATCAAATCATCCAAATTGTACATGCATCAATCAAAAGCTTACTGGCAACTAGCCGATTCCACAAATTGTCATTACACAAACAGGCATCACGCTAAAAGGCATCACGCTAAAAGGCATCACGCTAAAAGGTATCACGCTTAACGGCATCACCCTGAAAGGCATCATACTGAAAGGCATCCCGTGAAAAGGCATCACGCTAAAATGTATCACGCGAAAAGGCATGCGCATCACGCAGAAAGGCATCACGCGAAAAGGTAACTCGCGAAAGGTATTACACTTACTAAAAGGCATCACGCAAACAGGCATAAAGCAAAAAGGCATAACGCTTCTGCTTGTATCTCTACACGTGAACCATAATAAGGGAGAGGTGTAGCTGAAGTAGTGAATTCATGTTCAGGAGGTTCTTGTACTATTACTAATGTCATACGAAGAACGCCCAGTGCTTGTCCGCCATCTTGAAAAATACTCGCCAATCTAAAAAGGACCTCAGCTATATGTTCTAAACGAAAAGAAATGCAATCGTTTTCGATTCCATTGCTCACTTCCTGTATTAATTCTTTCAAAGCACGCCTCAGGTACTGAATTAAGACCTCGCGAGGGGGGCAAAGACGGAATGTATCGCTCAAAAACTATTTCAGAAGGCTGTTATCTTACAAGGCACGAGTAAGAAGAGTTATTAGTCCCGGATTCCATATAATTTTTGTAACGGTGCCTTTCTGGGTGATGCCTTTTCGTGTGATGCCTTTTCCCTTGATGCCTTTTTGTGTGATGCCTTTTCGCGTGATACCTTTAAGTGTGATGCCTTTTCGTGTCATTTCCTTCAGCGTGATGCCTTTAAGCGTGATGCCTTTTCGAGTGATGCCTTTCAGTGTGATGCCTTTTAGCGTGATGCCTTTTTGTGTGATACCTGTTCGCGTAATGACTATTTGTAGAATCTGCTAGTTGCCATTCACCTTTGGATAGATGCATGTACAATTTGGATGACTTGATGCTAATTACTGAGTATTGAATTTTGTCATAGATATACCTCTTCACCAACACTGGGTAGCATTACACCCGAGGGTCGTCACGCAACGCTTCAAAGCGTTGCGTGACGAACCTAAATTGCGAAGGCCGAGAGAGACTGGAAATACCCACCTCATAGATTTCAAAATGGCGGCCAGTATCAGTTTGAGAGATGCGAAAAAAGCCCTCAAGAAATATCTTCCTTACAGCGGTTTAGTAGGTTACTCTGTACTTGGACTTCATTCAGCGAAGATCCGCCTGGAAGAATTTTTTATCGGCAAGAGTGCCAGACCAGTTGTTTTCCACGGAGCGTTGGTTTTGTCAAGCATTGGGATAGCTACGTATTTGTATGACCGACCTGTATTTGATGTCATGAGACCTCCCAAGTCCAAACGTCTTTTGTGGAGCTTGTTCGGTACTTGGATGTTCAACTTTGGTTCCTTATTGCTTTGGGCGATTTGTAAAGAGATGTGTCCCAAGAACAGATTGATACGAGCTGTTTTGGTCTTGTCCTCTTGCGCTGGGGTCGTGTATGTTGGCACTGATTACTTACAAGCAGTGGACAAACTTCGATTAGGGATTATTGCGGAACGAGAAGAAGGCGCCATTGAACTTTAACAAAAACTACTCAATGTATTTGATGGAAATCTTTTACTGAGTAATGGACAATCTACCCTTGTCCCATGTTGTGAACAACAATCGCCGATCGAATCTGTGTTAATTTATAACAAGTCATGGCAGGTTGAAAATACTAAGCTTACATGTTGAACATTGGTCAGCTCTCCTTTCCTCTTCAACAGGCGACGTAAATTAAGAAGCATGCCAGTTAGAACATTCTGCCATTCAATCTTAGCAGAAAAAAATTGTTCATCGGGTTGTGAAAGTGTGCAGTGTGACAAGGCAAAAATATTATTCTGCATTCAAACATGTTGTAAGCTTACTAAGCTACTTTGGTCACTTAGCACGCCTTATATTGTTTCTCTTTTTTTCCATCTCCATATTTCCCTTGTTGATGATGTAATTTAATAAATTTAAGATTTGTAAATAATGCAAATAATAAAAATCTGAAATCTTAAATGGAATATATAGTCCTCTAGCATAGGACTTCAGGATGGTTTAAACTAGCGCCAAGCATAAGCAACTTAAGCAGACACAGTAGGGTGTAGGGATGTTAGTGCATTGATATGCGGTGCTAATGCTCGAAAGCCATACAAGTTGACCATTTTGGTCTGAAATAGGGTGTTTTTCACTCTGGCTTGGCATTGGGTATGGGTACAGACTCTATGCACTAGTAACATAGTACGATGCTAACCAGTAGGAGAGATGACTAAATGGTTAGTGCGCTGTTGTACTCTAAGGTAAGCAGCCCAGGTTTAAGCCCTGGTCAGGGTCTCATAGCAGGACACTTAAGTTTTACAAGTGAGAGAACACTAGACTCTGGATTGAGCTGTCCAGGTTCAAGCCCTGGCCGAGGACATTCGTGTTCTTGGGAGACACCTTACCCTCACAGTGCCTCTCTTCACCCAGGTATATAACTGGGAACTGGAAAATTTGATACTGGGAAGAAACCATTTGATGGACTAGCATCCCATTCAGGGCAGAGTAGAAATACTGCTAGTCTTTAAATGCTAAAAGAACTAAGCCCTGACTAATGATTGATCACTAGGCCTTTAGGACAGACTTTTTTTTCTTTACACAGGTGTGTTAGTGTTAATGGGTTCTGGTCAATCAAATGTTTGGGATGGACTACCATCCTATCCAGGGAGGAGAAGAAATACTCCTAGTAACTCCCCACATGGCCTACTGTGGGCAAATGTGTTCATACAGACTAATCATTAGAATACTAGAGCATCATCAGCCCCTGATGGACTAGCATCCTATCATGAGTGAGGAGCTTCGGGGAGTAGTAGTAGTTTTAAATACTTCACGGCACTGACACCTACGACCACTGAGGAGAATGAAGCTTCTTTGAACTTTGAAAACAATAAAAATGTACTGAGAGAATAAGTAAAGCCTAAACACTTTGACTAGACTTTGCCATGTTCACTGAGCTGCAACCTGTTACAAGGTTGATCAAACCTGACCATAAATTATTACAATAAGCCATTTCTGAGTTGCTATGACCTCTGTTTCAAAATGAGTCTTGGTGCACAACCTTTCATATTGAAATGAGTTTTTCTTGCACATTCATTGTCTTGCAAATTGAACTCATTTCCATATGCAAGGTTGTGCACTTAGACTCGTTTTGACAAAGTGGTAAAAAGCAACTTGGAAATGGCTTATTGCAAATTGCTTTCTTAACCACCTGTCTTTTGATTAGTTTTCACTTGTGACACAATAACATTCTACAGATGATTCTCGTGTTCACACGATTCTGACTTGCACTGGAAACTTTTCAATAAATCTGCACACCAAGCTGTAAAAGATGTTGCTCTTCAAAGGCAAACCCTTTATTCTAGTTACACATTTGCTTTGTATGAATTACTTGTAACTTTCTGAAATAAATTAGAAAATACCCTTGCCCACATGAAGGGCTAAAAAAATATTACATTCAGTTCAATTCATTTCACAACCACATCTCAGCTGTGAGTGGTCATAAACAATGACTAGATTTATTTAAAATGTCATTACAAAATCTGACAAGTGTGAACTGCTACCACATTCCAGTTGAAATGTTGCTTCTCTATTTTTAGGTCTTCAGTAAAAATTAATTCTTCAGAAGTTATTTCAAATAAAGGCAAACAAAACTGAGGTAAACACAAATATGGTGTGAAAAAGTAAAACCAATCGAAAATAAAAGCCTAATGTAATCTCTTCAAAAACTGTGATTAAATAAACTAGAACAAATTGAGTATTCTGCTTGTAAATAGGTTTCATTTTGCCCTTGTAACATCTCAAATGCACAGGACAACACCTGTTTCATGATATTTAAGGGCATATAAAAAACTGAAAACAGAGATCTTTACTAAATGCATTACAGTGAATATTATATATACAAATTTATTGCAAGGAAAATCTCGCTGAGGCTTGATTCCCTGCATGACAGCATCACTGACATGAGTTTTAAAGACCCAGTATTGACTATTATGTTTTTTTTACACCTGTTATTGTATGGTTACACGATAGCGAGGTTTCTAATGTTTTCCAATGCTCACAGAATGCAATGCATCCTGGCCAAAACTGGGTCTTAAAATACTATGTAGTCAGTATTCCTTAGCATGCTTAGTGGGTAAACACTTTGAATTAATGTAAAAAGAGGAAAATAATATTTCCCAGATTAAAATGCTATATCTGCTAGAGGCAACACCATAATATCACATTTAATTCCCAACTGAATAAATATGATCAGAAAACAATATTGAGGTGGAAATGCCATTTACAGACAGTGCTGTACATGTGTTGTGGCTAAAAAAAAAATCAGTACATGTATGAATCTACTTTTATTATTAATAACACTAATTTTTTTCTGGACACTCTCTCCCATGTTTTACCTATATACTATATAACGGCGAGTAGACTAATAACAATATTTTAAGATGCAATTAAAATTTCTAGATAGCAGTCAGTGATCGAAGAACATCCAGGCATGCCTTATAACAGAAAATGTACTGATCCTGTAGAAACAAATAATACAAAATTAGTATGTTAGACTTGATACAACTTGTCGACAGACAGGTGAAGTTTTTAAATTCTAAAAAAGACATTCACAGCTGAATTTTCATTATAACCAAGGAAAAAGTATACAAGCTGCACATTGGGTAGAAAACATTTTCCAGACTGATGAAAGCCACTGAACCATTGCATGTTACTGTATTGCATGCATCAAATCTTTGACATCTGTCAAAGTGTTCAGAACCCTGTGCAGATAACAGCCTAACCAAACATACGTGTGTGTAATCTAAAAACAGACTTGCCTATGAACTTGCCCAAAGTTTTCCAGTGGAGCCTAATAAGATAATTATGTCTCATTACAGGAAAGACCCCCCCCCCCCTTTCATGGACACCACTGAGGGTTATAAAAATTAATGGTTATTAATAACAGTTGACAATATGGTCCCTAAGGTTGCTAACAAATTAGCTCCAATAACATTTCACACTCTTGTAGTCTCTAAGTCATTAGCCTTGACTGAAATGAACAACACTAAGTTTTGAAATAGCTGACACTCACTTTGGTCTGAATCATGCCCTGCCGCTGCTCACGGAGACTCCTGATGATCTTGTTGATATCAAACTGAATAAAGGCAATGTAAAATAAGATACATATGTTTGCTTTTTGCTTATAATTCAGAGTAACTCATTTTTGAATTTAATTTTTTATTATTACAGCAAGATGCAATTTAAACTTCACTATGCTTCAGATATGCTCACAGTTCTGAATCTAATGTTACATCCAAACATTTTCTTTTAGACATGTAAATTTAAGTTAAGGTACATACTGATAAATCTCTTTCCATGAGACCCAAGGCTACATCTATGGTAATAAGAACTCCTGTTCTGCCAATTCCAGCACTAAATGACAAAAGTAAACAGGACAAAAATGATTAGATATTAGAGTCACTAGAATTGAAATCCAGACGTCTATAAACAAAACATGTATATGCATTTCCCTTTTGCTAGCTTGGTTTGTTCTTGTAGTCTTAAGTTTAATCAGTTGTGTTCTGCAGAAAACTAATAGTTAGCTACATGAAGCTGTTTGATTAAAAACTATGTTCAAATTGGATTAATATTTACAATTTTAAATACTGTCGAACCTCCAGTTGCGACCACCACTCATAACCGACCAGTTATCCAAAATACCAAAAGTTTCCTAGTCAAATCACTATATTTGGATCCTCTTGTGAGCTAACACCTCTCATAAGCGACTGCGACCACTTTTAGAGCTTAATGTTTCAAATTTATTTTCTTTTATTTTTAACCTCCCATAAGCAACCACTTGACAGATGATAAAGCGTAAATTCGATAATAAGGTATTGTAACATTATCGTATTCCTGGGTAGAACAAGAGACGGAAATTTCTCAATGGGAAGTACCAGATTTTTTCTCGAAATTGACTTTTCATACGAATAAAACATTCAAAACATGGGGCAAGTCTCTGCAGTTATCATATGCTAATGAGGCAAACTTTTTGTCCCAATATGGTCTAAGCTCTCATAAGCCACCACCTCCTGTAAGCGACCACCTAGGCTTGACATTTTGGGTGGTTGCTTACTGGAGATTTGACTGTATTTGTTTCAAACTACTGTTAACAAGGGTTCCTCCCAAAAAAGTTAGTAACAACTTTTCCACAATAATCACTGAACTTTACAGATATTTTTTTTATACCAATGTAAAATAGTGCAATACAGAAAAAAAATAATAGAATAATTTCAATTACTAGCTACTTTTGGCATATTTTAACTTTACCTGCAGTGGGCAACAATTGGACCTGGGCCATCAGCAAGAAGCCGTAAGAATCGAACAAATTCAACCAACTCCACAGCACTCTAGAAACAAGCAAAAATATTTTTATGTCTAATGCTTATTAACCAAGCTAGTGAGAGTTAACAAGGAGTTCATTGTATTATTCTTGATAACATTCTACCATCTGCTTCAAAATTCCCATGGGCATTACAGGAAAATCCAACCCCCACTAACAGCACAAGTTAATAAAACATATTGTTATATAGCTGGAGTTTAGTTGAATCTAACCCACACTCTTATTGGTTGATTTATGGACACCCGGCAATGGCTAAATTTAAATGCTGCCTGGTGGGCAACAAGTAAGCAATTGTCACCCACTCTTGGACTTAGGGGTGGTTATTTTTCCCTTCTTACTTTACACTACACTCTAGCCATGCAACAAAACACTCAATTACTGGTACCTTGGAAAACAGCTACTTTTGACTAACCTTGAATATCAATGTTTCCCTAGACTTCGTCTCAGAAAACTTGAGATTCCCAGGAAACAAAATTCAGCATTTCCCTTGGGACCAGTCAGTGTAAATGAAAACCATGAAATCAAGGTGTATTTCAAGCTTCTTATTGTACACCCTTGTTTTTATATTTTTTCATTTCAATATACTGTGCATGTGCAATGGTAAACAAATGTGCTTTTTATTTAGCAGGCAATAAAGTGTGTTGGATCCATGAATTGGTCTTGGCTAGCAAGTAATATATTCAGGAATGCATCAGGACAACTGGGTGCTTGCGCCCAGTCGCTTGTGGGTTGTTGAGACAACTATGAGAGAAATAAATGGCCACATGGAGAAACCAACTTTTGCACAGCCAGCAGAGCGATTTCTTTAGAAAAGCAAAAAATGATATTATCTAGTAAATATCATTCTTTAGATACAAAATTTGTGCAGTGTGATCTCACCTTAGGAACACCATGATCAGGCCATGTAATATAGTTTATGTGGGAAACAGTCCTGCGTTCACCAGTCTGTGGATGTGAAAGACAACAATCAAGATTATCACTTACACTATCCTAACTAAGATTTAGAATAAATGAAAGATTAATTTGCTGGGGTTTCTCATGAAAATAATTTCCTTTTATTAGCCTTTTCCACAAGCAAACATGTCCTTGCACATGAATGTAATTTTCTACAGATATTGTCATAATTATGTGACATGATCCAAGATCCTCCTTTAGAATAGAATCATCCTTAGCAACCATGACAAATTGTTCTGTTACTTGTAAATCCAACTTCTTTTTTCTCCTTTAATACCATATCAAACTAAGCATAATTATATTTTAAGTGGAAAGCGAATGCAACATGAACAAAATAATTTCTAGTAATGTCAGTAACTGTGCTAATAAATGTTTAGTTGTTAAACTGTACCTGAAGATTGGTGATCTCAAATTCTCTTTCTATAAATGAATCAAAATCTTCCTGTTTTTGAAGACTCACTGTCAGACTGTAAAAAAAAGAACAACCCATATTTTATGTCAGTTGATAAGATTACTTTGTTAACTGGAAATTGTGATTGTGCAAATCAATACATGGCAACAACAAAACTCGACAGCTTTAAACTGGCACGTAAGTATTCCACTTTTGCAACCCAAGCGAAACATCAATTCCACCAGCTGCAAAAATGTTATTGAAACAAACACTCGCAAGGTACTTACTAAATATCTTGCAATGTAATGATTAATTTAACGAAAATAAAATACTTTTGTTACGAAATGTGAGGCTACTCACCTCCCACTGAACACCAGGGGTTGATCCTCAGACTCAGGCCAATATCGGTGACACTTCACCTGAAAAAAAGCATAAGATTGGCCTTAAGTATTAATGTGTATAGTGTATCAAGGATTAGTTCAACTCCAGAGTTGTAGGTTTTTTAGAGGAAAACATCTTACTCTGATTGTTACCAGTTTTGAATAACAAAGATTGAGGATTATACACATTGGTGACATTCCCGTCTTTCCAGGGATTATCACCACGCTCTTTTCAAAGTGGACAGAAACATAATTTTTATTTACCTTTCCTCCTTCTCGTTCTAGTGTTACCATGGCAATCACAATCACTTCCTGTTCCCAGACCATCTGCCAAAAGTCTTGAGTAGTATTGGGAAGTGGACCCTACAACAAATCAAATGTAATCATGGTTTGTTACCAGAGTGACCAGCTGGTTGGATTCCTAAACCCAATACCACAATTTTTTTCCCTAGCTCCCTAGTTTTCCTTCATCCAAAATAGTATCACAGCGTATAGCTGTCCCAAGTTCCGGTTTGAACTGTAAGGAACAGCAATTAAGAGGAAAAAGCCGTGTAAAATGTGATGGCCAACTGAGTACATGCCCAAGCAAAAGAATGTACAACTAGCTTTGTTAGCTGGTGTGTAAATAATGCATATTCAAATATGTTCAGATTCAATTTTGGAATGACAAACACTCCAGGTTGAAGCAGAAGGCCAACTTACTCTTAAACACTGCAAGAAGAGATATAAATTGTTTGAATACATACCTGAGTAGCAATGTAGTGGTATAAGTCATCACCAAGTGGAATCTGAAATAAACATAGACAAAGATTAAAGACAATATAAGGAAATGATTAGAGAAACCTTAAACCAGCATATTATAACATTAACAAGTTGAAATATTGATAAACACACTACCTTAAGATGATTAGCATTGATGTAATCACTGTCTCCATCTCCACTTAACTTGACTCTTGTCTTTTCAACTATGTAGAATAAAAAAATAAATTGAAAACAAATTTTAAAACAGATAGACAGTGCTTACTACATACTAAATTTTACATCTGATCTCAAGGAGGCCACATCATGGAGGGCACATCTTGGGAAATTTAGCCCAAATTTTTCAAGTTCCTTGTTTGTTATACACTTCAATCTTTCCCAATCAAACCACCTTTCTTCCTCTTTGGTTTTCAACCTTACACTGTAGGTGCTTTGTGAATTTAGTGAAACATTAAAAAAAAAGACTGACTGCAAAGAATTCTTAGATCAATATTGCTATGGTGTTCAAAAAGCGGCTGGCATGTCCCATTACTGAATAAAGTTATATTATTTGTGTCAATATTCTTGGCAAGTAGAAGTGCATGTGTAGAGGATTTATTTGAGAACCTAAAATAAGATTAGATCAGAATTAGGCAACAGTAAAATTTAGAAACCTTCCTCATTGACTTAATGTACGTCAGCAAATAAATTGAATTTTCCCCCAAGGAGGTATTATTATGCAGGAATTATTTTTTTTATTATAAATAACATGATTTGTAGAATTTAAAGGGTTAATGAGGTGAGATAAGTTGAATTATTGCAGCAGCACTACGTACATGGTAGCACGTTTCTGTATCTGTTCTTGTCCTTGCTTGCTGGTTTCTTGCCTGCATCACACCCATCTGTTTGTTTTATCTCCCTCAGTGCCTACAAAACATCACAAGAGAATTACATTTGTCAGAGTGCTAATACTCTAGTGTATATATGTGTAGCATATCCTGCAAACAATTGGGGTTGAAGGGTGGTAAGGGGTCCTGGTGGAGTGCGCTAGGGCCACCAGGTGTGCTTTGCAAATGCCAGGAAATGCTCTGCCACCAAGTCAGCTGTTGCATGTCCTTGTCACAACCCCAGTAATGCAGTTGTACTGCAGCTGAGTGACAATGCCAAAAGGTGGGTATCCGGCGCCTTTCAAATAACGGGATATTGTGGTTAAGGGAAGGACACCCTGACAGAAAACCCAGGCCCTCCAGGTTGGGGGTTGGGCATGGGGCCAATCTCCCCATCCCGTAAAAAAAATCATCGATTATGGAAACCAGAAACTCTAACAAGCAATGTTACATGGGGAACAGCACAACTACTTGCCAAACTCCAAATGATAATTTTATCACATGGGAGGGGGTTTTGGCTCATGGAGCGAGGCAACAGTGGCTGCTCGGGACCGTGTGACATGGTGAAGGAGAGTGTCTGGCCCTATACCCACTTAGGGTTATGGTCAAAATCTATCCTGCGAACAATAGTAAAGCATTAGCTGAGTATAATCAATAAAAGTGCCGTTTTTTGTCACTGACTTGCATATTTTAGCAAGACGTTTCGGCTAACTCTTAAGCCTTCATCATCGAAATGTCTTGCTAAAATATACAAGTCAGTGACAAAAAACGGCACTTTTATTGATTATGTCATCTTCTGACTACATATACTCAATTATTAGCTGAGTATTTTGTCCTCCTCCCAAGCTTAGACTACGAGTAGTCCCTCTTTCGCTTAGTCCGTCGTGCGTGACGCAAAAGAAATTCGTGAGAAAAAAATGGCCGCACAAAACCTGGGGGCTAGGAGCACGCGAAAGGAGGGACTACCGCCTAAGCCCAAGAGTTTGCCCTTTCACGGCCGAGTGAGTTTTCAGTGTAGGATTTCTCATCTTGACGTCCTCTTATTATCGCCTGTTATCAATAGCCCCGGGAGATCTGAATAAAATTGCTCTACTCTACTCTTCAAGTAGCCAGGCAAAAACATATGCCGTGAGAAGTATATCTTCATTCAGTGTCCATTCAGCGAAACTGTCAAAGTTTTAAAAAGAAGACGGGGAATGAGGCCTCTTGTAACGATTTTCGCTGCGTCTAAAAGTTATTGTGAAAATTTCAACAGAGTTTCAACCGAGAATTTACATTATACATTATACATTATACATAGGAGATCATCCAACTGCGGTGAAATGTTTGCCGAAAGCAGCGGAAAATTTCAGGTGAATGTCCGGTGTCAAGTGAGAGTCCAGTTCAATCTTTCAAATGGATGGCAGAAAGGCCAAGCTCAGTGAATTTATATTCGCTGACTTAGATGATGCTGTTGAGCAGCGAAATCACTAACATGCTCGCAGTCGGGTGGAGGCAGAAAGCTTTGCCAAACAAAACACTGGATAAATTAAAATCTTTCCAAAGCACCTGTTAGCAGAATCGCAAGAACATCACAGCTTGCGAAGCGCGATTCCAACGCTTCGATTTGCTCCGGTTCCAAAACATTCCTGCAAGACGTCACAGGTATCTCGAATGTTGACAACACGTTGTCAACGCTCCTAACATAAGCCAATCATATTTTTGCGTTGTGAGAGCAACGCATAATTCAAACTCTTGGGCTTAGGCGATAGTCCCTCCTTTCGTGTGCTTCTCGCCTCCAGGATTTTGCGTGGCCATTTTTTTCTCGCGGTTTTCTTTTGCGTCACGCACAACGGACTAAGCGAAAGAGGGACTACTCGTAGTCTACCCAAGCTAGTCAATGTAAACTAACACTAGCTTAAGTTATAAACCATTAACTTTCTTTGCATCCTCAATCCAGTGCTGTTAAATTAAAAAAAAAAAAGAACCTAGCAACATCACTTCACCTCCTTCCATCTGTTTTGTGACAACATCTCAGACCAGAACAAACACAATCATACCACTTTACTGAATAATGAACCATCCGTCATAGAGCCATCAAAGGGTCAAAATATTATGGTCCTGTTAATGGGCAGTTGGATAAGCCACAAAATAAATCCAGAAACAATCCAGTGGAAGGAGTATTTGATGAGAGAAAGTGGTCACAGTACAGTGCAGCAAGACAATCATTTTTACTGAGTTGGAGGAAGTACCTGCATGGTAAAACTGTCACTCTTATTTTAAGTTTTGTGGAAAAATAAAGACCCTGAAACTGTGTGAAATAATTAAAATTTATTAAGTGCCTCAGTTTCACATTCAAACAAGTGTATGAGGGAAAGGGAAAAAAAATGCAAGGCTTGTTCACCCGACTGTAGAGACAAAATATAAGCTTACTACATGTATCTTCAGTAATATCTTCCTCGACAAACTCAAACAATCTCAGCCAGTGTTAGAGTACTTGTACTAGCACCCACCTTAAACTCTTCAGCAGGGACATTTGAGTCTAGTTTTTCCCTGAAACTTCTGATGAGGTTGTCGAGACTTTGCCCTGTGTACATGCCACCTTCAACCACATCAATCAATGGTTCCGTTGGTTCCGGAGGCTCGTCACTGCCACTACAATATATAAAGTTTGTTTAACAATGGTAACACCAGTACTTAATGTCTCTCACTAACTTATCAACATATAATAAGGTAGTTGTTACATGTAAGGAACTTGACTGTTAAAGGGGCTGACAAACTGGAAATGTACCAAGACAAGTAGGTTATAGTTCATGTCAGGATTGGAACTCTGGAAAACTGACCCACAAGCAAGAATTACATTATAATAAAAGGATTAATTTAATTTCTTCAAGGAGCTCAGTCACAATATTTTGAGTTATTTTGGCCATGTACAAAATCACCTTTAAGTCGAAAGAAACCTAAAAATAAAAGTTTACTACGATAGAAAAACACCACTGAAGAGATAATAATAAACCAAAAAGGAATGAGGATGGTCAAGGATGGAGAAGATTAACATGGATAACAAACTATGAGCTTGAAAATTTGTGCTGACCTTTTCAAGATACGCAAACCTTGACATAGCTCCTTTAAGTATTCAGACTCATTTCCATACCTGCCATGTCCACTAATGGTGCCGTTCATGACTGGTTTAGAATTCAAATCCATATTTGCTGAATGCTTTGGTAGAGATTCCACTCTAGGTGGTGGCTTGACAGGTGGTTCTTCATCATCTGAGGGAAGTGGTGTGGTAGGGATCGGTGGTGGAACATCAGAGAGCCCTGTCGCATCAAGAGAATTCCCGGGTACAAGACTGTCATTGCCTCTTGTACTATTCTTGTCTCCTACAACGTTTGTTTCCTCTGATTCAGTGTTGGTATTGTTCAGCATGCCGATCACAATCTGGCTGTTGTCTCTTAGCATGTCAAATACATCTTCATCATCAATATCAACGTCATCATCGTCATTGTCACTGCTATCATCTGTATTGTTACTATTGTCTTGGGCATTATCATTGTCTGATATAGAACTAAGTTCATTGATTTGCACTTGATTAACTGGCTGTGCAGCATTAGCAGCTTCCTGTAAGTCTTTCCTATCGTCAAATGAACTGCTTTGATTTGCTGATGAACTAGATCCACTCTGAAAGAAATGTCTGGATTTGTTAGGCACAAGATCAGGAGTAGCATCATTGTCACTGTAGCCACTTTCCCACTGTGAGTCAAATTCCTGTGGATCTACAGAGTGCAGAGATTCAGGCGGTGAAGGAGGAGGTTCCAGTGATGCAAGTAAAGATGATAACACAGAGTCAGTGTCTCTCTTTTGTAATTTTGGTGGTTTGTGTTGGACATGATTTGCAGGAGGCGATGATCTGCCATTTGCTGCTGAGATAGCATTCAAAAGTTCTGTGACATCATCTTCATCCTGTATGTCACTGGATCCACTAAGTGTCTAAAGACAAAACAAAGATCAACTTGTTTCAGAAATACACTGCTTGTTTTTACTCTAAATAACAATTTGAGGTATAAATTAGGTTAATGTTTAAAGCATTTACAGAAATGCAATAATTAGTTTTTATAACGTTAAGTTCGTTTGTTAAAGCAAAACAAGTTTACAATTAAAGAAAGAAAGGTTTAATTCCCCTTCTCATTCTTCTCATTCTTAATATTTTGAGCATTGCGTAGTAAAATCAAGCTGATCTATTTTAAAAAATTAATGGTCTATTGTAAATAACTGTTAACAATATTGTTTTCATAAGGATTTTGTTAAAAGAAAAAGAACAAATCTCTTCACATTAATAAAACGAAAGAATTCATGATTTTCTTGTTTAAATTGGAACTCAATTACAAGACATTTCAAGAGAAATTATAATCCATAGAATGATTTAGACACAAGCCTAACATTTAGTCAATTGTGACCCCAAGGTCAGAACATGTCTGAGGGAAATTTACGGTAAATAAACCAACATTTAAGTGAAGAAACTTACTGCAAAGAGAAGAGTAAGCATTTTAAATCTGTCCTCTGTAAAATCTTGGTGTTAGTATAGGAGAGCCCCACTCTGGCATGCAGTAGAAAGATGAAAGGGAAGTTGTGAGTAAGCTTTAAAATGAGCTTTTAAAGATATGCATAACAGGAAAAGGTGCAGTTCAGAGCATGGGCTGAACAGCCCTAAATAACAAAGCGGCCTTTAGTAATTTATCAGATCATTTAACACTGTGTCAGCATAATACGATATTCTTCCAGCTCTAGAGTAAAGTTAATTGTTTTGAATGACAAATCAGCCAATTTTAATGCCAATGTAATGATGGTTTCAGGTGTCATCTTAGAGGAGGTGATGTAATGTAATATGCTGCTAAAAAGAGAATTATTCAGTTATCAAGACTTAAACCATATTTGGTAAAGAATTAAAGCATGACCTCTACTTCAGAATGTAGGCTTTTAATTGCTTCAGGCTTTTTCTTGCATTACTTACAAGTTCAATCACTGAAGTTTAGCTTTTGTTTTGAGTTAATTAATGTTATTTTAAAAAACAATTTCAAGACTGTTAGTTAGAGTTTATAAAAGGCATTAAGGCTAATGGGCAAAAATTAACTGTTAAGATTATTATATGAAATAGCTTTATTGCTGTTACCATTCTGAAGCAGTATCTTACAAATCATAACTTAAACAAAAGATTGAATCAATGATTAAACTGTAATCTTAGCTTGAAGGTTAGACTTAGGCTTGACTCAGATACCCAGACATTCATGTTTATGTTCAATATTGCCCTAACGTTAAATCGGGCTGATCTCAATTGCGTGTAATTCTTGGTTTTCATGTAACGTAGTCATATTCCAAAATTAAAAATCACCTTTCCTTCTGAGGTTTTAGTTTCATCACACAAAAGACTCTATAGGCACTTGATGTTTGACAATGTTTTAGCTCAACAGAGTTCTTCTGTTTGTAATAGAGCATGTTTGAATTTCCCAGCTTTTGCGCTGCGTGACATGAAAATGGCAGCCCAAAAAGGCTGTCGCGTAGGTCAAAAGATGAGTTATCGCTTTAGTTTTCGCTATCTAAATGGTGCTTGCACTAGAAGAGGTGTTTATTTCAATGTGTCGGAACTCTAGAGTGAACATTTTTCATTTCAGTAGCAAAACTCAGTGAAAAATGTTTCTGTTATTTTACGGCTGCCATGTTTGTGACCCTCCGAAGGGCACAAACATGG